CTCATGCACGCATCTACTACTCTACGAGCTTGTTCCGGGGGAAATTAATCATTATCCAGCTGCAAATTCCAGTGCAACTTTGGTCGAGGAAGACAAGGATTTATATCACTTAATTAATATAATTAATAAGTAAATCTGTATAAATCCGATTTAAAGGGTGTTTATAACTACTTGTTAAGATTAATTAAAATTTTCATTTAATATACTATTTTCACCGATCAAAATCAAGAAAAGACAATATATTAATAAATGAAATGATCCTAGCTACCTCCATCATATATTCTCTTTCTCAATTGGCTGATTATCACATGCTTGAGATTGTAATCAATTTTATTTTAAAAAAAATTGATCTTTGATTAATTCAGCATCCTCTTGCTAGTCTTAATTGGGTGGCTAACCAACTTTTTTTTATTCTTTTTGAACTATCTTATGTTCTTTTTTAATTAGATATTGGTCAATGTAAATCCATTCATTTAGAAGATAACCTTCATTCTGCGATGAGGATATGAATTCGTTATCTTTACAAATACCCAAGGCCGCTTCTTAATTTTGTAATCGTAGATAAAGCCTTCCAATGCACTCAAAAAGATTGAATATTCATAAAATTAATTTGTCCCTGCTGGCTGCTGATCAATACCCTTCAATTAATGGCATCTTCGCTATAGACCGTTTCAGCCTTAGTACTTCTTAAACTATTTTAGCAAAGTACAAATATATTCAATTATGATGACCATAAAATAAAGAATTTCACAACATGGTACGACTTACTGCAACAATCTCAAACAGGAAGGTGAAGTTCTAAGGGCAAAGTGCAACCTTAGTTTTTTTTTTTTTTATTCCCTCAAACAAGCAAAGTTTTATTGATATCAAACACTCATATAAGTTAAAAATTTTAAATATAAGATACAATCACTTTATATCATATTACAAAATATCAAAAAATAAATTAAAACAATCTGTCAATCAAAGAAATTCAAAAGCTCAAATTTCAAACAATAACTATCTATCACTGTGTTTGTACTCAAATATTTAATTTATTAATTGATAATAATTTATCTATTTAAAGGATAAATTTCAAATCTTTCCTCTAATTTCAAAATATATATATGTCATTGCTTTACATCACCAATATTCTTCTTCAAATCGTGAATTTCACTTAGATTTCCCAATTATACACCCAAGCCATATCAACTTATGAATCTGATTTGACAATAAGAGTGTTCATCTGAAATTAAACAGTCTTTCCCTGCGAGCATCCTCATTGGCACGAAGGAAAGCACGTTCAAATCAAACAGGTTACCATTAGAATGTTATTGGGCTTGATTACTGGCCCAGTTGCGGTCGTTATCTTTTATTATTATTATTATTATTATCATTTTTCCTTTAATCTTTGACTTTGTTGTTTATATATCCATACATTTGATGATAATAAACCTTTGTGCGAATTAATGTTTTAGATTTACGTTTAACTCATGCATCCGAAATGTTTTGTAATTTAAGGAATATATAGGAAATTGGAATCGAGATTTTTGATCAATATCTAGAGATATATTTATATTTTAAACTGAATATTATAATAAGCTAATTAAGGTCAATAGACACTCCACAATTTCTCCTAGTTAATTGACTAATTGAATAACTTTAATTAATAACTTCTTGGTATAAATTTTGTCCACGTAGCCAAAAACTCTAACCGAAGAGAGCCATTCTGAAAACTGGTAAACGTAACATAACAATAACATGATGCCTGCATTACACCATTTTGGTTACAAGATTCGATGAACACTTGAAGCAGAAGAAAAACAGCTCAAAAAGCAAAATCAAAAAAATATATAAGAAGTGAACATAGCTAATTAAAATACAACTTGGGTAAAATTTATGCTTTGGTAAGGTTAAGGTGAATTTGGTAAAATATATAGTAGGCGTACCAGGAGTTGTCGATGGAAAGAGCGAGTAAATTATATTCTAAGGAGAAGGCCAGTTTTCTTCCCTACTAACTTCAGCGTCTCGTGCACGCACCAGACAAGTGCCGAACGGCGCGGCTCTACTTTGCCAATTTTTCAAACACCACACTTTTCTCTTAGCCTCTTGTATTTATTTCTCCTTTTTAATTACATTACCTATGTGCCTATTTGTAATCAGCTACCGATGACCATATAATTGGACACAGCCTCTCTTAATACAATATGAGAATGATTAATATTATATAAATTTGGGTTTAGAGTAATTGCATTATGTGTCTTAAATATGTCAACGCATTTAAGTTTAATTCGCTTATGGCATGTTTAATCTGTTTAATTAATTATATAATAATATAAATTTGTATAATATGACTTATTTAACTTATTTATTATATTAATTTAAATATGTTAATCATGTTTAAAAAGATTTATCTTGTTATAATTGTATTATGTCATGTAAAATAAACATGTTAATTGTGTTGCACTGTGTATCAATTATAATAAACATATTTATGTATATGTTTAAAATTTAAACTCATTTATTTAAAAATGTTAAATTTTATTTATTCATATAATATTAATATTTTATTTAAATACGATACGATCAAATTTATATATAATTACACAAAGGAAATGGAGAATAAATTATTTTGATTGATACCAATGATTGGGTTTTGGAATTGGAGGTCGATTACCAATGTTAAAAGTTAAATAATCTGCCAATCATATATACCTATTCTTTCATCAAATTCTAAAAAATCCAATAATATATTGTAGTAGAAAATTTACTCCCTATCTCTTAATAAATTATGACTGCTTTATTTATCAAAAGGAAATTTCCTTAATTTTTCTTTAAAAACAACCAAAAGAAAAGAGGGGGAGGGGAGTGTCGTAAAGTGGAAAGCCTGTCTGAGGTCGGGAAATGAACTGTTTGAATGAGTTTTGCTGACCATCGTCTTGCTTAAGAGAGACGGCAGAGGGAACAGTGTTTCCGAATGCCTTTGAAGTTATGGTAATTTAAGTGAATAGCATGGCTTTTCGTGCGAGTCAGTGTGGGCTTGACTACTTTGCTAGGCCGTCCTTCAGCGTTGGTCTCATTCATGTTGAGTCTTGACCATACTTTTTTACTTTAATTTCGCAAATGAAAATCCTCCTATTATTAAATCCTCATTGCATCTCTTTATTAATTGTAGCATATATAGTAATTAAGTTCTAACATCATGGCTACTAAAATAAAATAACATTGACTTTGGCACTTTCCCTTGATAATTTTGTGACTATTTATAGCTACCCATGCATGAATTTTTGTTCCTTGAGATTTGCATAATTAATGTACTGGAATTAGAAGTTTGCAGAGGTTTTTTTTCTCTTCAGTAAGCCTTGAACAGGTCCTAATAAGAATACTAGTAACAGGAATAATTGAATTCTGAATGCGGAAATGAGGCGTGTATGTCATTTTCTGAGGAGTGCTATGCCACCATGTCGCTACATGAATTAGAGGGCAAGTGACATCAAACCGTAAAGCTGGACAAATCATTGCCAAAAAAGGAAGAAAAAAAGGTGACAAGCACGTGAAGTAAGAGAGAGAGACACGTTGGTTTGGACATATGAACACGACATCTCTCATTGAAATTGCTGGCCGGAGTGAAGATCAGCTCAAAGCTACAATAAACAAGTAAAAGCTCACCCTTGGGACCTTGATCATTCCCCAAATTCTAACTAATTTTTGTTCTATGAAAATCACTTCAATTCCATGTACCCAAAAAAAAAAAAAAACTCCATACGATGTCTTGGATAAATTAATATGAGAGAATGTGTAACGTTCTTATTTATAAATATGAAATTGAAATACTTTATCTGCAGTTAAATCAGTTTGGCTTGATGTAATTGTATTCTTGCCTTGTGAAGGGGTGAGTATATAGCTGCTAGCAGCAGGTAACATAACAAAAGTTGAAAAGAAAACAAAAAGGGTGGGGTGGGAGGGAGGTGAAGGGTGAAAACGAGCAGTGGTCTATTTTCGGTGAGTTTTTTTGCTGATGGGGGGAAGCTGAGAAAAGCTGAAGTTGGAGGTGACAAGAGGCAGAGATGATTGGATAGGATGTTTGTCCCACGTGGGGTTCGCACGTGGCAGCAACTGCGGCGGTTGGGAGTTGAAGACTTGAGACAGCCACTCACCCGCATGTGTGTGTTTGCTTCACGCAAGCTGCTCCCGCTACTACTACTGCTCCTTTGCCGTGGCTTTAAGGCTTGAAACAAAACCAATACACCCCCTCTCTCTCTCTCTCTCTCTCGTGCAATGCATACCCATATTTCTGATTGCTTTTAAGTATGAGTAAATTGAATCTCAACATTAATCAAGTATTTAATAAGAATAATCTATTTCAAGCATGACATATGCATGAATATTAAATCAAGGGACTATATATAAACATCTTCAAATTACCTGTTTATCTCACAAAATTCTCATCTTAAATAATTTATCATACATGTACATTACATTGCAAATGTAGAGTCATCTTAAATTTATATTTCATATATCACAAAGTATACTTATTAATTGCTATGAATGAGTAAATTCTATTTATCATATCGGGAATTTTAATTTTTCTCTCATAACATCTTACATTTTATTTTATTCAATTGGTCTTTTACGGATAAGTTGAGGTAACACTGCTAAATTTTTTATTAAAATTATTCAAATATTTTGAAATGTAAAGTGAAATTTACTGTGTAACCTTTTGTTAGAACAAAATAAAATTCCCAAAGGATTAATTAGGAAAAAAACACAATCAAGTAAAGTGAAGTTCACCTTAATTAAAATGTTAAAAGAAAAAGATGGGTGGGCTATTTTTCATAGAATATAATAATGGTGAGTTATATAATGGTTAAGAATATTAGCAATATAAACTAAGTTTAAGGTTACCTGGTTTTAGGAAAAGAGAATACGGTTTGTATTTGATCACAAAGGAAATATATAGATTTAAAAAGGACGGAACTGGCAGTCTTTTTTCTCAGCAATGACCCACCACCAGAGTAGCAGAGCTTTCAACATGTTTCTTATCTAAAACCAGGAAACAAACAGAACCCTCCTCTGTGTTTGCTCTCTAAATGCCCACAATTCCTCCTCTTTGTTCCTCTCTTCTCTTCTCTCTTTCCTCAGATGTCGCATATTAACTATATACGCTTCTGGTTCTGATCAAAAGCAGAGATAATCTCTGTAGAAAGAAGGAGAGAGAGATAGAGAGAGAGAGAGCATAGAGAAAACCATCAGAGACAGAGATAGATAGGGAGAGAGATGAGTGCAAACAACGGAGGTGGGCCTTGCGGTGCTTGCAAATTCCTGCGGAGGAAGTGCGTGAAAGGGTGCATTTTTGCACCATATTTTGACTCGGACCAAGGCACGGCTCACTTTGCTGCCGTGCACAAGGTTTTCGGTGCTAGTAATGCTTCCAAGATGCTGCTGCGGATACCGGCTCACAAGCGCGTCGATGCTGTAGTTACACTCTGTTACGAGGCTTTGGCTAGGGTTAGGGACCCTGTTTATGGCTGTGTTGGCCACATCTTTACCCTCCAACAGCAGGTCAGCTCCTGTTCTCAAACTTTTCTTTTCTTTATTTTCTTTCTTTCATGTCATTCTTCGCTGAGCAATGAGCATGTCACTATTTTCAGTTGGGGAAACAGAGAATCCGTAAACTCATTTAAGATGATAGAAAATTTTTCCTCAATTAGAGAATTTTGATTGCCAGACTCAGGTCTTAGGGTTTTGCTTTCCTTCCTTCTCTCTCTTGGGCTTCAATATTTCATTGAAGCCTTGGCAAACATGCTGGCATGCACGCACCTAACCATTTTAGAGTCTGTAAATTTTTTTCAAAAATTTCTTCCATTGAAGATATTGAATTGCTAAACAAATCTTAGATTTTCCCTTTCTATATATTTTCTTCTATCATTATATGTCTTCTCTGTTAAGCTTCTTCTTCTGCTAATTATTAGGAACGATTCCCTTAATAAATAGTGGTACTTGTTACTACTATATGTGGATTGTAGGTAAACTAGTAACTTTGTTGTTGGTACCTTTAGGTACAACTAGTAATTGCATGCACCAGTGGGCTACAAGTTTTCTCAAATAGAGCGGTGGAAGAAATCTGGAGCTTATAGTTTATAGCCCGGTCCCAGCTAATTTAGGGTAAAATCTTATACCCAGATTTGGCATAAGAAGCCAGCTGTTTCACAGCATAGGCCTAGTAAAACTCGGAATAATTAATCGAGACATGAGGTCGATAATTTCTAGGCCTATAACTTGAAAGTTCAATGTTCATGCAAACGTGTGTCTCGGAGGCTGTAGCCGTTCGGTAAAAGTTTGACAACGCGTATCATATTTTTTAGCAGAAGCAATCTAAATAGTCAAGGTTTTCACATTTGTTAACCCTGTTTATTTCATTAACACCAAATAAAAAAAATAAAGAAAGTTATGATCAATCGGTAATGACATTGCACTTTCCTAGCGACACAGCCATGCCGAGGAGTGCCCTGGGTACGGTTCTTTTGGCTTCTGTGATTATTAAACGTTAAAACTGCAAATGATCACGTAGGTTTTAAGCCTACTTAAATTTGAACAAATTTGTTTTTTGTTACCCAAGGTAATATTGTTCACTATAGTTTCTCTTTTGGGGGTAAAATAACAGTCCGTGAAACTCGGTCTAAAGTTTTGTACTTGGAAAGGTGGTGTGTTTTGGTTTGGGTAACTCGTTTTGGGAATTTTTAAGTTGAAATTGAACAAAATTCATGCTAAATTGCGTTTCACAGAGAGAGAGAGAGAGACAGAGGGAGGGAGGGAGGGAGAGCTGGCGGCTGTCAGTGGAGAGCTGAGCATGGCTAAGTGGGTCTGGTTGCTTGCCGGAGCCAACAAGCAAACTTAGCAACTCGAGAAATATTCAAATAGTTTTGGCTTTGACTTCGTTAGTTTTAGCAATATATTTTTTTTCTTCTTTATGGTAAGAGATTAAGAAAATGTAGTAATCATATACCTAAAAGGATAAATGAATTGTTACAATACTGAGGATTGATGGGTGTTTCTTACCCCTGTGGGTCCTACCATGTGTAGGTTCGATCATGGTGAACTTCCTTCACCAAAGTCTCTCTCTCTCTCTCTCTATTTTTCACGTTTCCTTTTTCCTTTGTATGGTGAGATTTACTTGTAGGGGTTTTCTTCTTCATCAATTGCCTTTCGTGAAACTCAATCATGCCTTATAGATAGCTATTTTCTTTCACCTCTTCATGAATTATGGTCCTTCTTGCTTTCTGTGGGTTCAAGAAAGGAAGGGTACGGCCCGAAAAATTCACAGCCAAAGTGAGCATAAATGCTCTTCTTTTCTTTTCTTTTCTTTTCTTTTTTTAATGGAAGATGGTCTACTTTCTATTTTGATGGGAGGAAGATGGTCGGTCTACTTATGTAAACCATTTTGACTACGGATTTAACCATACTGTTTCAACAATTAGGACACTTCTTCTTCTTTTCTTCCCACCACGTCCATTTGTTGGGCAGATGAACACAAAATAGAGATATGGTATGAGCTTTAATTAGGTAGGATACCATTATCTGCTTGCTTTTGACTACTTTAAACTCTTCTTTCAGAGAGATAAGACATATAATTAATTTCTTCGGTTTAGGAAAAGCTTACATTATAATTGAGCATAATGCATATTTTAATATGTGTAATATATGAATATTTAACACCCGATGAGGTTCATTTTGACTCTGTTCTGTCTGTTATCTGTTTTACCCCGGTTTCTCCGTTCCTCTGCGTCTTGCTCTTTCGATTTATGAACTTAGAATCATAGTTTGTGTTATACTAGAAAACAGAGATAAGAGTTGAATTTGGATTTATGTTATGATCGTAGGTAGTGAATTTACAGGCGGAGTTAGCCTACATTCAGGCCCGTCTTTCGACGTTGCAGCTACTGCCGCCATCTCAAGCCCAATGCCCTTCGCCAACGAGCCTTCATTCCTCATCAGAAGTAGGATCTGACTTGGTGTCTTCTTCTAACATGTCCATGAGCATTGATCGGCCTCAACCACAACAGGCTTCTATCGAATTGACAAGTTTTCCGAATCCTTTTGATCAAGAACTGGAGAATGAGGAACTTCAGGCTTTGGCCAGGGAGTTTGTCTCGAGATATCTCCCTGGCGTTCGATTCCGGCCTTCGACTTCCAGTTAAAACTTCTGATTGTTGTTAAACTTTGAATAACCTTCGTCCTGGATAACTACTATTGATTCTGGAATCAAATCATGAAATCGTAGGTTTTATTTTTCTATAAAAGAATATGATTCCGTCCAACGTTAGTGATAATGGTTCATGCCTTGCTGTGCTTCGAATTTAGGTATATTTTAACAAGTTACTTTTGCATCACCAATGCAATTAAATTCATAAATATACAGTTCGTGACTTCGTGTTCTACAAGGATTAGAAAAGATAAAGGAGGTTGTATTCTATGAGAACTAGCACTTCGTATTCTGTAAGGATTAGGAAAGATAAGGAGAGACTTTCTGCTATATTAAAGACGTTGGGAGTCACGGCCAAACTCATTAGTTTAACTCTTATACAAAGAAAGAGAGAAAACCTTGGGTCTTCTTTTCTATTTGATTAGTCCATCATGCAAGAAGAATTCGAAGCAGGTTGGGGTAGTATTGTGGGTGATCTTTTAAGATGCATTGTCGACAAGACTTCAATTCGAGATCGTATTCGGATGAGTGCAGTTTGTCGGTTTTGGCAAAATTCGCTCAAGGATGAAAAAATCAATTTTCCTATTTGTTTGATGCTTTCAGAGAAAGAGAGTAGTGACAAACGTAGTTTTAACAGTAATGCAGAAGAAGTCATTATTGAGCTCGATTTGCCGGAGATCCGAGGAAGGAGGTGTTGGGGCACTCCTTTTGGTTGGTTAGTTACTTTCGGTCTTGATCTTGAAATTCGATTGTTTAATCCTTTATCGAAAGCTAGTCTTTCCCTTCCTTCTCTGCGCTCCTTCGATAATGATTTCGACTATCCCCCAGAAGATTTGCGTTTATATTTTATAAAAAAAGTCTTCTTATCCTCAAGTCCAACTTCCCCTGATTGTATTGCTATGGCGATTTGTGGAGTGTCGAATAGAGATGAGACTTTAGTCTTTGCAAAGCCTGGTGATCAAGTATGGACTCAAATTTGTTTTATCTTTTCAATGGATGACATCACTTGTTTCAATGGTAATTTCTTTGTAGTTCTTATTACTGGGGAAGTTCTTATATGTGAGGACTTAAATGGACCATCTCCAAAACTCGTTGAATTCGCTGCACCACCTTCTACTGTTCATCTTGGTCATAAGAAGTATATTGTTGATTTGGGTGGCGATCTTTGCATGATTACTCGCGGTGTTGGTCGATATGATATCAGATATGATAGTGGAAGAGTGGAAAGAACTGATTTGACGGAAGAGTTCGAGATTTTCAAACTTGACATGCATACAAAGAATTGGGAGAAAATATTATCATTGGGTGAACACTCTTTATTTCTTGGAAATTGCTGCACTTTCTCCGTCTTGGCAGCTAACTATCCTAGATGCAGGGCTAATTGCATTTACTTTACCGATGACAATTTTTATTATTATCCTCAGGCTCGCGTCTCTGATATAGGCATCTACAATTGTGATAATACAAAGGATATAAACTATATCAACGATTACGAAGTGTTGGATTTGCGTTCTACATTCTCTCCTCCGCTTTGGATCAAACTAGGCTCTCATTGACAACACTTTTATTAGTAATAAGAGGTTTTTTTATGATGTTTTACTTATCAAATTTCTCAAAATTTTGATCAATATGATTAAACTATTGATTAAAGAAATCCCGTGTTGTTCTTGCCATTTATGCACTTGTGTATTTAGATTTCAGACTTGGAATTTTCATGTTATCTACGCATGTTCTATGTTTGTTGTATAGAATGAAATTGTTCCAACAGCAGTTGGGCTCCTTCTGCCTCTGGGATTGCTTTGGGAAATATAAGAGTTTTAATTTTGTAGAAATTCTATTTGTGGTTATTTGGGCCCTTGGACCCTTTGCGACTAGGAAAAGGCCAGTCTAATGAATCAAACTAAAAACTTTTTTGGTTTCGGGATATGGGCGGATTTGATTTAGTATCCCTGCTTGGTGGGGTTGGATTGGAGCATTTACAAAACAAAGAAGAATTAAGCTCTTGTTTGCAGCGTCTCCCTCTACTGCAGCCATCTCAAGCCCAATGCCCTCAAGAACTTGAGAATGAGGAGCTTCGAGCTCTAGGCAGGGAGTTTGTCTCGGAGATATCTCTCCGGCTTCGACTTCCGGTTAAAACTTCTGATTGTTGTTAACTACTATTGATTTTGGAATCTAATCGTGAAATCGTAGGTTTATATTTTTCTATAAAAGTATATGATTCCGTCCAACGTCAGGGATACTGGTTCGTGTTTTTGGGCTTGTTTAAGTATTGATGTGCTTCGGATTTATGTATATTTTAACAAGTTATTCAAGTCGTGCCATTTTTATCCCAGACTCAGAATAATTTGATTAAGCGATGCGCCCAATCGGTAGTAGTAAGTATTCTTGTAATAACCTGAAAGCAATTATGTAAATCAATGACACTAAGTGAATGCCCTGCCAAATGTTGGATGCCATAGCGTAAGGGAGTTCCATCTCATTTCATCTGCTCCATTGAGCCAACATCCTGCGCAAAAATATTCTCAACTGACCTCAAAAAACTCCTAATAAACCAGCCATAGAGCACATTGCCCTGTTTCTCATACAGGCTCGTAATATAACAAGCATGCTTCTAACCACCTGTGTCCTGGCAGACATGAGAATGTCACTATCTCATTCCCAGGGACGCTAATGAGCAAGCTTGCCTGCCACGATTGCAGCCTGAGAGTTCAGCATCACACTAGGAGGATTGCTGTCTTCATCCTCTTCAGAACTTTCAACTCCACCCATTGTGGCAATAAGTGAATCAACAACCAAGAAAGGAATGCTCTCCATATTTTGCACCTTGTCCAAGCTTTCAGGCTTCCTAATAATGGCCGAATCCACTAAATGCAATAATTCAGGAGACACATTTGGCATAGCAGCTTTTGGCTTAGGCTTTATTGGTGAACCAAGGGGACAATATCCAGAATCTGCATAAAAGGCAGAATCAAGACTAGTTGCCGAGCTTGACTGCTTAGAGGTATAATCTGTTTGTCTTTCAGGACCAGGGCTTGAAGTATAACGATCTCAGGCATTGAGGAAGAATCATACTGCATCCAATACGTCCTTGTTAGATGTTGAGAGTATTCCTCAAACCCGCCAGATGAGCGTCTCTCATAGTCTGAGTCTGAATTTGAGGATCGATTCAGATCCACCTGACCAACATGCATGAAAGTGCCCGGCAGCTTTATCTTGATTTTCTGAAGACACAGGCTCAAATTGGTCCTCATCCCCAATCAGAGATGCAGAATGAGCCCCTTGTGAAACCGCATTATCATTTCTTACAATAGCTTCTCACCATCAGTAACATTAACATTCTCCTGATAAGATTTTCCTATCCTATCCTCCACAACAGTAGCTACTTGAGGAGTATCCGAACCCCTTGCAGAAGTTTCACCAAACTTATTTTCCTCTTTTTCTTCTTCTTCCATTGTATTATAACTTTAAAGGCTTAGCAGATAATCATTTGAATTATTTACGCTAAAATCCACTTGCAAAAACGAAAAATCAAAAAGAATGATGAGAACAAACAGCCACTCCAATCAATTCTTAAACCACTATGAATCTCACAATTAAAAGATGGACAGCCATCAGCCAAGCTCGTCTAAATTTGTTAACCACTATGAATTGTTTGAGAAAGACATTGCTTAAACTTTCTTCCCTTTGCCGAGGTTTCTTGGTTCCCCCTTTTTCTAGTGATTTGGTCAGTGTTTGTAACTTAGTCAATTTTCAATTGAAATATCTGGGCAGAATCCGGTAGTGTTATGCAAACGTAACAACTCATTGCTTTGTTGGGATTGTGCCAAAAGCAAGGTCAAATATGTTTTCTTTTTTGAAAGGTAAGGTCAAATATGTTGAATTGGAAAAATATGACCTTATGCTGGATGGATTCATGTTATTGCACTCTGCTTTTGGCTTTCCTGAATAATCCTTTTGTATCTTTCTTGGTTGAGCATCCACACGCATGCATTATATGTTTGTTAATCAAAACTTTAGAAAAATTGATGTGTTTTGCTTTTGATAATCAGGCCAGACCAGGCCAGAATTTGCAAGATGTGAGGGCCAACATCTTCCCAATTAAAACAAGAAAAGTGAGCCCGGTAACAGTGCCAACTAGAAGAAAAGAGAGATCACGTTCTTCCTTGGTGGTTAATGCCCCAAAGTCTCAACACAAACTGCTATGACTGGAAGGAGAACAAAAGCTGTTGCCAGAAAGTCTGGTGCTCTACAGGTTCCAGTTTTTCAATAGAGAAGCATGTTACAAGAGAGAAAGACTAATTGTTTCATAAAAGATCTCGACATGAAAATGGGAGAAAGAAATGTAATATTGTACCACGTGGCAATATTGTGTTGGTGGCAAAAAAAAGATGCACCAAATTGAGACAGGAAATGGAAGCAGGTGATTTTTATTTTCTATTTATATATTTAGTTTTGCTTTTTCTTCTTTCTCTTCTCTTCGCCTTTCTTTTCTTCTTAATACCAAGTAGTCTCTACACCCATCATTCAAGTTGATTATCCTCTCCATCCATCAATTAGGTTAGTTGTTATTTATTTCTTTGCCTTTCTTGGATTGTTTTTTTTTTTTGCAACTTAATAAATCTTTTTTTGTTTTCAGCAATGGGGAAAGGAGGCAAGAACGAAAAGGTTGAAATCAAAGAATATTATGTATGCAGCTTGTGCGAGAGGAGTTTTGCACACCTCAATGGGATCATATCCCACATCAAAGACAAGCATAAGACAGGCGTACCATGCACCAGATGTTATCACGTTTCTGACTCAGAACTGGAGCATGAGATCCACAAAGATTCTGAATTTTATTTTCTTTACGTTTTCATATCTTCTTTTACTTTTTTTTTTCTTTGAAGAGGAACTAATGGAGGTGACCACAGAACAGCCCCAAAGCATTCTCAACATCTGTTTCAATATGTAGGGTTGTGTATTTGTTCTTTTATTATTATTATTTTCTTCTTAAGCATGATTGGATTTTCATTTCATTGATCCTTCACAAAAGTACCCTGTATTTGGTAGTATGGCAGCACTTCCCTGGACATAAGAAATCATTCCAAGGTGGTTGCCTATAGGATCAAACATCAAGTTTATTCACATCTTTTTGCACCACCCTGTTTCTCTCTGTTTACTTCAACATCTTTTCTCTTTCACTCTCTCTGCCCTCCACGTGGTCAACTTTGGAAACCCATTGGGACTTCCTTTTAAATACGTTATAGATGTCTGTGATGAGGGTTGGGTCAAGGAACTTTGCCACAAAAGCCCACACTTATTATAGACATCCCATCCTCAAATTAAAATCAAAAGCCCAAAGAAGTTGTAACGACCTCAACTCTTATGATCCCTTGGCCCATTTTCCGTCCGTCTGCACAAGGTAGTATCTTCGAGATTCAGAGCCCCTCGCTGTTATCATGGGCTATCTATCTCTAACATACGACACCGAGAGAGACACCAGAGATTTCACCCAACTTCTGTACAATCTCTGAATTATTGAGGCCCCTATTTTTATCCCTCACATTGAAAGCCACGGTTGCACCCCTTTCATTTTTTATTTTTCGGTCCTAGATGTGAACAAGATTCACTCTGCCATCTCCATCTAAACTAGGTAATTTAAGCTGCAGTAATGAGGTTACAAGCCTATTAATCAAATACCATAATCTAAGAAGGGTTTTACTGAGTCCCAACATACCAACATGATCTAGATGCCGGCATATTATCTCAGGCTCCCTCCTGTAACCAATCTTGTCCATCTTCATTTTCTCCATCACTGGTGTAGTCTTCATCATCAAGACTGGTCACAGATACCTCTCCCGGTTCCAAGGCATGACTTCCGCACTCTTTACGGCCATCCTCCAGGCTAAAGGATACCCTTCTTTCTCTACTTGGATGTCCATCTTCTAACCCAAAAACTCTACCACTATCTATTCCCTTCCCACTTCCACAACCGCAACAACCCAAATTCACCTTTACACAGCAAAAAAGAGCTATCGAATGCATGATGCACCTAAAGCATTCACTGATCATCCCTTCTAAAATTCATAATACACATTTATAAAATAATAACAAAACAAAAGGCAAAGGAAGGATGAAGAAACATACAAATTAGAAGCCCCTAGAAATCATCCACACAATTTGACCCATAATTCAAGCAAATGATTAAAACCATCAGTATGATCAAACCAACTAGTAGATTAATCAAACTCTTTGAAATTAGTAAAGAGACGTGAATCTTATAAGGTACTAATGAGTTTGAAGACAAGAGAAGATACAAATGAATATGAAAGAGAACTTAACGGAATATAAATGTTATAATGAGGGCCAGAGTAGAAAGATTGGACATACAATACATTATACATACAAGAATCTAAAAGATAGGTGATGAAAGAGTCACCGGTGTCCATTGTAAGAGGAATCCAGCCAAAAATCATGAATGTCCACAACATGTTAACAAATAGTTATAATAAGGTATGTGCAGACGAGCCCAATTGGCTATACTTTACAGAAACCACACACAACAAAGACACCTAAAAGCATGCAAGTTCCAATCTTCAGTATACATAAATGTACAATCCAGTGCCAGCTGTGAGAAGAGATGAAGTGGGCAATATAAATTCAAGATTATGTTAGAGTGGGTTAACCTGGCTCTTCAGCATTCTACACGATCTCCC